GCCCCGCCTAACTACAGCAGTTTCCAACAGCTCGAGAGACGTCTTATTTTCGCTGATGGCGCCGTACGCTACTGCTTTCTATACGCGAGTGTGGACTCGGTCTTCTCAGACCAAGACGAGGCTTGAACAAGTCTCATTCAGTTCACTTTCTGACCTGGGCAAGGGGATACCGAAAATCTCTTTCACGCGAAGCGAGGCCGCCATGGAAGGGTCGACACCGAGGTTCAAGAGGTGGGCGGGTATCTTGCAAGTTGGCAAGCATTTCTTTTCCGGAAGGCCTTGTCGACTAGGACTCCAACCACTACTCTTCTCCTCGTGTTTCGAGTCGGGCAACCTGGCATCAGCTACTCTAACGAACGTCTCTTACTCACATGAAGCAAGTAGACTCAATCTCGAGCAGTAGACGGACGGTCGTGAAGCACTTTCGTAGGTACTTTTTTCGAAGGCATCCCACAATTAGAGAGCATCGCAACCCTTGAGGTCGAAAACGTTTTAGCATTTTCTCCGCGCAGAAAATGTGTCAGGTTAGCTACGACTTGCTCCTTGAAAACGACACTAACTCTGCGGCTCAACATACACAATGGTACCACTTCGCAGTCCGGGTTAACACTGAAACGGAAAGTGCGGCTGTTCACTTCGAACGTCCAGTTACACCTTGAATCAGACTCGCAGAGCTCGATACCCTCCGAAATGAGAGTGAAGATTTTGGCTACTTTCAACGTCACTAATCTGAGGAAGCGGAAATCGCTTTATAACATGGGCATGCGGCCTTTTACGTTGCATTCTGGCAATCTCGCTGAAGGATGGGTCAAGGATCGATGCACGGACGTCTCTTACACTCAAAGCGCTCAATCTCCTGAGCAGTCCCCTGCCGATGGCGACAGCGCGATCAACTATATCTTGAGCTTCCGCTACTGCTTCTCTAGTCACGGTTTGAATGAGACTGTGGTCTTCGCCATGGCACCTCCACTGACCTACACGACTCTAGTGTCACACCTCCGCATGCTCAGAGATAACCATACAGAGAACGATCTGTGGCAGGTAGCGACCGGAAATAACAGACCTGTCGATGGTAGTTCATTAGGAGCCTCTGGGGACCTCTCTTGGGGGCATGCCCGTGCCTCTCCTTCTGGTCTCGGACTTCACACTGGATCCATCGAGCTTGCCCAACCATT